ATAATGATGTACACCTGAAATTTATACAATGTTATAAACCAATGTTACTGCAATAAACAAAACATTAAAAAAAAAATCTCAACAGCATCTGTAGTTTTGTCTTCTTTTTTTTTGCAATATTGTTTATTTGTTCTTCCTCCTTCATTTGTCCAATCTTGCCAAAATTTTTGGTATTTTATTAGACTTTTGATTCCCCTAGAAGCAGACAATCTGTGGCTCACAGATAATGGAGCTGGCCAATGCACTATGAGCAGAAAGGCAAACCCATAATCAGAATATGTATCATTTCTAGTAAGGATGAATTCCCCCCTTCCAGGATAGAAGAGATCTAAGATAATGAACTTGCCACCAAATGGCTGCTTATGTCCTTGAGGGATTGTGCCGTGTCAAGGGCTCAGCATTGATCTGTACTGCTGACAGTCAGGCATTCAGCCTGATCAGCCCTGGTGGTAGCTAGATCAGCCCTGGTGATAGGGAGCCCGTCATGTCAGGCCACCATGACTAACCCATTCATTCAGGGACCCCTTTGTAAGGATTGAGGTGGTTAAGGACAGAGGCTCACTGTCATTCGCTGGATGACTCATCTTGTCCACCCGCTCACTCAGTGCTTCTTCCTCTGCCACACATGCGTTCTGGTGGGCATTGATGTGGGACCATCCACCATGTGCCCTTTCCCATAGCTCCATCCACGTGCCTCTTCCTCAGACATCCTTGTTTCCAGTCTTCCAATCTTGCTCCCTCCAGGCCCTTGACCAAGCAGCCAAGCCATTTGCCATTACCTAGAAGTCTGTGTATACCCTTACTTCAGGCCACTTCTTCCCCCACACAAAGTGGAGACCAATTGTACTTTAAACTCTGCCCTACTGGGAGGATTTTCCCTCACCACTCTTTTCAGGGCCCTTCTGTGTAGCAGGAGTCCATTTTTAGCTTATACCACCATAGTGTGCTGACCTAACTGTTTTCAGGCCTTTTATTTTTTTTCTCCTCTGTCAACTGGTTGTGGAGAAATCCCCAAGGGCCCATAGATGAGTTGATGGTGAGGCATCAGTGCAAGGGAAGCAGGGCTCATGGGACCTGGGCCACCTGTTCACACAATTTATTTGTTTTCCCCATACCTGCTTGAGCCTGATACTAAATGTACTATTTTCATTGTATGACAGATTGCAATCGTGCCTGCCTCAGCTTATGATCCAGTGGGTCTGACAGCGGCCCTCGCCTGTGATGTTCTGTGGTCAGATGCTCACCTTCTCCCAGGCTCCAGCATTGTGCCAGAAGCTGTTTTTCAAATGACAAATAGCTCCCTGCTGTAGACAGCATGGCCTTGCTCCAGGACCTTAGGGGGCTGGGCTACGCCTCTCCTCTGAGGGCTTGCCAGAGACTCCATAGAGTGTCCTTAACTACCACAGATGCCTCTAGCATCACTAGGTCTGCCAGACCATATGCCCAAGCGGTAGGACTGCTTGTACTGCGGTCTGAGTCCACTGCAAAGCTCCTTCTTGCTCTGGGACCCACTCAAAACTGGCAGCCTTCCACATCACCTGAAATGGGCTTGGGCAGCATTCCCAACTGCAGTATATGCTGTCTCCAAAACCTGAAACAAGCGTTGTGTTTCTTTCTTAGTGATAGCTGGCACAAAGTGCAGTAACTTGCCCTTCACTTTGGAGAGGATGTTTTGGTATATTCCAGACCATGAACTCCAAAAGACTTCACCAACGAGGCAAGTCTGATCTTTGTTGAGGTTTATCCCTCACTCTCTGGTAAGAATGCATCATTTCAGGATGTCCAGAGTGCTTGTCACTTCCTAGTCTCCATGTCCAATTAATGTGATGTCATCAATATAGTGGACCAACCTTGAAAGGTCAGGATGATCAAGATTACTTCAAATTACATTATGACAGAGCAGGAGCGTTATACAGCCCAAGAGCAAGCTTGTACTTGTGGACTGCTGTCCATCCGAGGTGAATGACAAGTGATCTGATCATCCTTCCTGATGGGGCCAGATCAATAGATGCGTCCGAGTAGCAGAGGCTGTGTTCATCTGTTCTAATAAAGATACCGTGTCTGGCCCAGCAGCTGCAAATGTAGCTGCCCGTAGTTAGGTTTATAGTAGCCCACCATCACCCTCTGTCATCTATCTGGTTTTGCAGGGATTACATCAGTGAACTAAATGGGCCGTATGTGTCCTTTAAGTCTTTGAGAGTGGCACTAATCTCTGTCATTCCACCTGGCATTTTGGGCACCTTGGTATCAGTGTCACCTCACAACTTGTATACAATAGCACTCTAAAGTTCCCAGCTTTCCCCTGCCCAGGTGAATCGCTACTCTCACAAATGGCTGGAGCTCCCTTTGGGGGAAGAATTGGGAGAAATGCAACTATCCTTGTTGTGCAAACTTCTGTGGGACCTGGTCTCCCCTTTTATAGACGGGCTCTGGGTCTGGGCGGTGTCTGCCTTCTGCTCATCGGCTCTTGGTCAGTTTTGGTTACATAAGTGAAGTACAGTTCCTTGTTAACAATGGGTTTCTTACTTTTTTACTTAATATAACAAAGCCAAAAGTTAAACAGTTTCTCATCTTTCCTCCTCAATTTTAGTTCTGTGGACACAAATAATCTGTAATCAGTCTATAAATCAAAATTTGAGGTGAGTTTATTATGAGCTAGGTCTGAAAACTATAGCCTGGAGGGCTTCCTTCCCCAAGGAAGGAAGGGCGCCAAAGAAGTGGGGTCTATAGAGTGGTTATATACAATCCTGGAACAAAGAGCATACACGGCACATGACAGGAATATCTCTTTACAACTGTCGTGAGATGCTCAGCTGGCACAGCAGGTCCGTGGTCAGCAGGTCAGTGGTCACACGGTGAGCATAGCAGGTTGGTAATTAATCCTTAGTTCCCAAGAAGAGATGCTTATCTTTAAGGAAATGTAGATGGGGGGGGAAGCCACATCCCTATCTTTAGAGGCATCATTCTTGGCCTTGGGACATTGTAAATGTTTAAAGCAGATGCACAATGCATGCTCAACAGTCCATGTCAGGGCTTTTTGGAAAGACAAGGTCAGCCTTGTCTGACAAGGCTGAATCAGTTTTAAACCAAATGGCTTCTCCATATACTCCAATATATCCTATTATCTCTCAATTATTCATCGTTCCCTTTAACATTAATCACTTACATGTATTTTTATTCAGCATTTTAAATCTATTTTTTATTCTTATGTTAACCCCACAAATTAGACATTATTATTATTCTTTTATATAATTGATGCTTGCTTAGATTTACCCGTGTATTTCCTAATTTCTTTGCTCACCACTCCTTCCAGCATATCAGACCTTCCTTCTGGGATGACTCTGCTTCTTCCTGAAGTGCACCCTTTAGAAATTTTTTTGTGAGGATCTATTGGCAATGAATTATAACCATTTTCACTTGTCTGACAATATCTTCACCACCGTTCTTCTTCTCTTCTTTCCATGAACTTTTGTGGTGAATTATGACGTCCCTACAGTAAAGTGCACAATATTAAGTGTACAGCTTGGCAAATTGTTCCCAAGTGCTTGTGCTCGTTCGGCTCCCTGGGGCCTCTCCCCGACTCTTCTCATTACCCGCCCACAGGTGACCACTGTTCTCACATCTATCGCCAGAGAGTGGCTTTATCTGTTCTTAAATTGTGTATAAATGGAAGCATACACTATGTAATGTTTTGTTTCTCACTTCCTTCATTCAACATTATGTCTGTGAGATTATCTGTGTTGTGTGTAGCAGTGGTTCATTCTCTCTCTTTACTCTTTTTTTCTTTGTCCCCTGAACATTCAGCTGTTTCTCATGGGTCACTGTTTTACTCAAGCTTGTCAATGCCCCTCTAAAGACGTGGCTCCAGGCTGCACGTGTGGACTGACTAACCCAGAGACGACGGGGGATAGTTTCTGTTAAGAGTTGGCCTCGGCACCTGCTTCCATGCGGCCTGCATCTTCATTACACTCTTCTTCACGCTGAGTTTATGGACGGCCAGCCCCTTTCAAGGGAGATATTTTTTTCCATAAAAACTATTGCCTACCTTATTTTGTTTCTGTAGAGGTGAGCGTGTGTCGTTATATTTACTCTTGCTAAAATTCATTGTCTGTTTTCTTTTGGGGCCACCTTTTCTCTCCATGGGGAGAAGCATTGAGCCTTGATTTGGGTTTCAAATCAAATTGAATTCAAATCCTGGGAGGAAGGAGAAGCCAAGAAGCAGTGGAGTCAGGCACCCTGGGTTCCAAATTCAGCCATGTGACAGAGAGCAAGTTACTTAGCTTTCCTGAGCCTCAGCCCCATTGTTTACAGAATGTGCACTCCAGGGAGTCTGTCCTGTTAATCCCAGTATCCTCAGTGCCTGGCCTAGTATCTGACACATAGTAGGTGCTTGTTGACTCTGTGAGTGAATGAGGGTAATAATACCTACCTGCAGAGGTGTTGTGAGGTTTAGATAAAATATATGTCAAGTGGCTAATACAGGGGCTAAGGCAGGGGAGGTGCCCAACCAAAGGCAGATAGTCTTATCAAAAAGTGACTCCCTGGGCCAAGGTGCCTTGTAGCTTTCTATACTTTCCAGGCTGAGAAAAGAGCATAAACCTTCGTTTTGGGTTCTGGTGGATTACAGGCTTAAAGTGTCACACAGTTCATGTTTTCTGTGAAGTCCCACTCTACCAGGGTACATCTGGACTGCCCAGCACTGTGTTATCCAATATGGTAGCCACTGGCCACGTGTGCCTATTTAAATTTAAATCAATTAAAATAAGAAATTCAGTTACTCAGTCACAATAACCACACTTCAAATGTTCAGTAGCCACATGTGGCCAGTGGCTGGCATACTGGACAGCGCTCATCTAGAATATTCCCGTCATTGCCGGAAGTTCTGTTGGAGAGAGCCGGCCTAGAGTCTGTGGTGGCAGAAAGTAATGTGATAGAGTACGGGGCAGGAGCATACATTAGGAGGCTGAAATACAAGTGTGACATGACAAGCTTCTGAACTTCAGAAAATGAAGAAGGACAAGTCCTCAGGACATTTTGAAGAAAGAATGGATAGAACTTGTTAGCAGAGCGAAGAAAGCAAATAGCACACAGGCTCTGGAGCTGGGCAGGGCTGAAATCCTGGCTCCATAGCTCACCAGCCTTGGTGACCAGACACTTATCTCCAAGCCCAGTTTCTCATTCGTAAAATGGGAGTAATAGTGTCTACCTCACAAGGTGGTTGAGAGCATTAAATCAGGAGGAGTGATGAAGTAGAAAGGCTTACACAGGGAGAGACAATAGTAAGGCACGATAGATGGGGGTTGTGTTATTAAGGTTCTAGCTTGGGGTTCTGAGTGAAGTGGCATTAATTGACAGAAGCATCTCTCACTGCACATTTCCTTTCAGGAGCCCCCCCACCCTGAAACTCCAGTGCCCTCTTTCTCCAGAGGCCCCAGTGCTACAGATCTCTATATGGGTCTCTGCGGCAAGGTCCCAAAGAGTGGACTCTTTTCCTGTCAATGTAAAACTTTACCTGTCCTGTGTTCCACTCCCAAGTCTGAAGGATGACTTAAAATACTGGAGTTGTTTTAGGTTGGAAAAGACCAAAATGGTAATGTATCTCCCCCTCTCCCCTCAATCTGATGTTTGAAGCCATTCTACAATAAGGTTATCTACCACAATTCTAATAATAACTTCCATATTTGAAAGTCTTCCGTATGCTAGGACTGTGCCAGCCACTTTACATGACTTGTCACGTGGTCATATGTTTCCCCTTTTCTTAAAGGAGGAAACTGGGGTTCAGTGAGATGCAGCGAGTCTCTTGTTACCATCTCAGAGGATAAGGCATCGAAGATTTCTTCAGCTTGGTCATCCCTGTCTGTCTTTTTCGCTGTCCTTGTCTGTTTCTCTGGGGTAACAGCTAGTCAAATGTCGGCATGCTTCACAGGAAGTGTGTGGAGAGGGACAATGGGAAAATCCTTGCCCATGAGGCAGCCAGGCTGAGGGTTGAGGCCATGGGGCAGCCAACCTCCTGGGGTCTGTAAGGAAGAAAAGAGAGTAGGGAGTGGTCCTGCCTGGGGTGTAGTTTTGGGGCTGTGTGCATTCCCTCATGTCATGGGCTTAAAGGAGGAAGCAAATCTTTCCAGCATAGGCAGTGGGGGAGGAGG